TGTAGTGTGGTACTAACAGGTCGTGTAGTCGTTCTGCTAGGGTGTCGCAAAATGCGGTTGGCGCTCCCGTGATGCCCATGGGCATGCGCTTATACCAGAAATAGCCTCTACCCTCGACGTAGAACGCTAGGTACGGTCGCCATTTTTCGGGGACTTCGATGGCGTAAAATCCCGACGCAAAATCGAAGACCGAAATGTATCGATGGCCGCTTAAACGTTGTTGTTTCGCTAGAATGTCGCCTTGGGGCATAGGTGCGACTTCCGTGACCTTATTCAGCTGCGCGAAATTCTGACATATCCTCCATTTCTTCGGGCCTTTATCAGGTGTGTCGTTGTGCGTTTGCGGGGGTGTTACTTCGCGGGGTGGTAGCTCGAACGCTGGGTATAGCCCTGCGCCTTGGCACTGCTCATTCACTCGATGTTGCAATTCATCGAGTGATAGTCCTCCTGCTTCGTGGGCCTTTTGGGCTATGACGGTCGTGGCTGCGCATCTGATCAATTCTGGTGGTGCGCGTTCTATAAGTCCAGCTTCTAACATGTCGCTTGCTCGAGCGTTGTAGAACTTGGATTGTTCTGGCGTTAGAGGGCGTTGGTGAATCCTTAGATTGAAAACTGCGTCCTCTGGTACATTCAAATTGATTGCTGATCCAGGGATGGGTACCACTTCCTTGAGTGTTAGGGCGAACGTATCTGCGTATTTCGCAACAAATTCTTCGAGCTCTTCTCGTTCTTCTTCCGTTAGGTCATCTCCGAACGTTATTTGACGTTTGATTGCGGAGATTCGGGCTACATTGAACGGGTCTGATTGTCTTGTGTAGATGGAGGGGTTCTGAGGTGTTGGCGTTGGTTCTGGGAGTTTGCCGAGGAGCTCGTTGTCTTCATCGTTGGTGATAATGTTTATTCCTGGTGCGTGGTCTATGAAATCGTTTTGGTCAATTACGGTTTCCTGCAGGATTAACGGGGTCGTGTTAACTTCCCTCGAGGGGAGCATCCTGCTCCCCACTTCGCGTTCGTGTTTGCTCTTCTCTCCCTGCTCCGTCTCTCCTTGCTCCGTCTCTCCTTGCTTCGTCTCTCCTTGCTTCGTCTCTCTTTGCCATTCTTCCTCTCCCGTTCCATTGCCCTTCGCCCTCAGATACTCCGGTCTCTTCCATTGCCCCATTGGCTGATGGCATGGTATTTGTCGGTGCTTGTGGGTAGTGTTAGCGCTTTCCTTGGTACTACTAATGTAGTTCGTTTGGACTCGCCTCGAGGGGGGTGTGCCTATACCCCCCACTGCTATTTCCTGCTGCTTTATATCTAGTGTCAGGCTGACTCCTTGCTCTGCGTGTTCGAGAGCTACCGGTCTTGCTATTTGATTTGATATGGTGGTTGAACCCGTACTATCGGATAGGGTGACTTCATCTGTCTTGTAGTCGTGTATCTCCGCGAAAGCTTTGAGCATTGGTTTCCCGAACAGAAAACCCCAGCTACCTCCGCTATCGAAGACTTCAAAATTGCATTGTGCCTTGACGTTGTTGATTTCTACTATTCCTGACCACTTAGCGGTTGAGTTGACTATGATTCCGTTGGCCATTCTTAGTCGTTTCGAGGATTGAGTCCAGTTGTGTAGCCTATGTTTTATTTTCTGAAAGATGGTCGTACACATGACGCCGACCATTGCGCCATCGTCAAAAAGGGCCTTAACTCGAACTAGCTCTCCTTGTGGTCCTCGTAACGCTATTTGGTGTATGAATGGGGTACTTTCCCCGTTTTCCAGCTGGGTTGTGATTGTTTGCGGGTGGCCTGCCATGTACAAATCACCGATTGAGATTGTGTCATGTGTAGTAGTACATGTGGTGGCTATAGCTAAAGCTGGAAGTTCGGGGCTGGGGATCATAGAGTTGTCCTCGTGCGTAGCCTCTTCCCGCTCGAGGACCTTCTCATGGGCTTGGATATTCCTAAATTGGTGGGTCGGCGTGATATCCTTTCTTACGCCGACCCATTCTCTTTTCCCTCGCTGAATTCTGTGACTTCTTCGATCCAGGCTGAAGTGGGTTGAGGGTATTGGTCGAGTACTAGGGAAATTGGTATCGCTGTGGCTCTGTTAAACGCTCCAAGTGCCTTGCTGACTATTGCTCTCCATGCTGCCTCCTTCCGTGACAACCTTTCTGTATGGTCTGCGGGTAGACGGCAATTCCTTCCGTTATGGCCGTGTGTACCGCAAGCGAAGCATTCGCTGGAGGCGATGGTTGCTGTTCCCGGTTTGAGAGGATAGCCTGTCTCGTGGGTGACCCTGGTATGTTCTCCCCACTGCGCGTTCCATTGTTTGATTTGGTTGTTGTACGCTGCGTGACCTATTGGGTTATCTGGATGGTGCGGTAACAAGGCTACGAGCTGCCTGATTTTGTTCTTCATGTCGTCGGTGATGATGAATGGTTGCGCTGATGTTGCTGGCTGGCGGCTGAAGGTTTGCTGCACGTTCTGGTTGACTTGTTGTGCTGGTACTCGCGTTACTGTGCTATTGGGAAGGGGTGCATTGGGCAGTGTCGACGGATTGATTGACATTCTCGATAACTGGTTTTGGAGGGCTGCAATAGAATTCTGTGCCGGATTGCGTTGTTGGAGACGAGCTACATCGGCTCTTAGCATGTTGACTTCTCGCTCCTGCTTCGCATTTTGTTCCTTCTTTTCCGCTAACCTCGTTCCTTTCAACTCCTTGACCTCCTTAATGAAAGCCGCCCAGTCCTTATATTCATCGTCCTTCAACAGATCCTTAACGATGCTCGGTAGCAGTCCTCTGACTTGCCATATCATGGAGGTGCTTGCTGCGATTCCTGCGCTCATCGCCAACTGCATTGTCTTAGTTGCCCATGCTTCGTGTGCCCAACACTCCCTGTCGTATAGGGTAGTCTTCGTTCCTACTTCCGCTTCTGCTAGTTTGTGCTCCAGCAGCTCCTTCTCGTACTCCGCTCTAGTCTTCTCCGCTATTATGATTGGTGGCCATCGGGTTTCAAATTCTGTGACGAACGCTGCCCATGTGGCTTTCTGCGCGGATGCGAGTGCCTTGAGCCAGACTTCTGCCTCCGATCCTGTACCTAGATAGTCGCTGAACGCTTCCAGCTTGTCGCTACTTGAGGTTACTGCTTGTTGCCTCATTGCGCGATTAAACGACTTCAAGAAATCCGCTGGGTTTTCTGATTTGCGGCCGTCCCCGTGGAATATCTGTGGAGTTTCCATGGTCATGATTGCTTTCGGCTGTGCTAACGCGAAGAAGTTGTCTAGATTATAGTCTGGTGTGATAGAGAGCGATGTGAGTGGTTCTGTTTTCGTATGGCGTTGTGGTGGTTTGAAGATGGTCAGGGGTAATCGCAGGTCTAGTTCTGGGACTGCAAGTTCTGGGGCTGCGAGTTCTGGGAATGGGACTACGTTGCTAATGTTTCCTTCATCCTCAATGCTACTAAGGGATGAACTCCGTGACCGACTTGGTGTATTGTGAGATGAGCGTTCGGGAGTGTCAAGTGGTGATGAAACTGTGGATGTGCCTGGTGTCCAGTCCGACCAGTTGGTTTTTGAACGGGTGTTGGTCACTGCGAATCCTGTTGCTGTTCTCGGTCTTAGACTATCGGGGTTGGGCATCAGTTTTTCGATTGGAAATCCATGTAATTGAGTTGAATGGAACACAGCCCTTTTATAAATCTCGCAGGTGTCTTTTCAGACGCCTGCTGTCTAGCTTAGCCCTTCTGGGCGTAACACGACGTAAAGGGAAGGTTGTTTTGTTTAGAGTTCGTGCAATCGAATGTGCTTAAGTGAGCTAGTCTCGAATCTCGCCTGTTCACCACGTTGGAGCAGTGCCGACTGCTAAAGACCACGCTGCTGCTAGAACCGAGGTGGATCGATGATGATGTACACTACGAACATGCTGACACCTGACCTATGTGCTGACTAAGCTATGGGAACAGCCGATGAGGCTCTAGGTGCGTGGCCTATGCCCTTGGAACCCCTAGTCCAACGTATTCTCGATGAACTTCGGCGGCGCCTCATCAACACCCAAGGTCTCTTAACAACAAGATCGCAATCAAGTCAGATGAACAGTATATGTATTAGTGAAATGCCACAGCCGGATATGCAACTTACGTATCTGCGTTGCCAATGCACAGTGCACGCACTTCAATGCCTCGACGTTTGATTCAACGCGCCGCTTTCCCCTCTCGCCGTCCTTGGGATCTGTCGCCTCATACCGATGGGGTTTAGCTCGGAAGTTACGCAAATTATTATGATTGAGGGTAAGTTTTCGTGGTGCTGGATGGCAAGGATCGTGGATTCTCTGAATGCCATGTGTGACAGACAGATTCTTGCAGGCTGTGTTCAATGATTATTCCCCAAAGGGATTGGTCCGGACTTCGCAGAATATAATAGGTTTCCTGTGGTCCTGGATGGCAAGGATATATCAGGAAAAACTGCATACGGATTTCTTGAAATTATCCTGTCAGTAGGTAGAATGATCGCGAACAGCATCCGTGACGTCTGAATCTTTTGAATCCAACTTTTGCAAGCGAGTCTAGCCATGCGGTGCGGCATGATAGGTAAATCTGCATGGGTACAGGTAGACACTCCGCATCATAAGCTGAGGTTTCTGCGGGGCGGATATGTAAGTATTGTGAATCGTCCTATGTTTCGCATTTACCCAGTTGTGCTAAACGGTGCACACAGTGCCTGCAAGGCAAATCTCGTCACGATGTCCATGAGGCTCTCTGCTGGGTACTGATGCATGATGGACACTCCGTACCTAAGCTAAGGTTTCTGGCGGATATGTATCATCCCATATTTCGCATTTTTACAGTTGTAGTTCAACTTGTTGAGTTGTAGCCAAGTTGTGGCACTTACTAAACGGCAACAAATCGGCACATTAGTATTTGTCGGTATTTGGCTCGTCGGTTAACAAACGTTTCAAGCTCGACGTTCGCGACATCCTCCGCACAGGTTCAACTCTACCCGCTCAGTGAGAATCACAACAAAATACAATGGCAGTACTCGGCACGATCGCTGGTTTCTCATTGTTCGGTTTAGCAGCGCGTTTCGGGCAGCTCGCAATAAAGAAGAGAAATCTCATGGAGAGTGCGTGCCTCTCTCATTCACCATGGAGGTCTTTGTGTCACAGATACTGACGTCGCGAGCAGACCTCGGTGGGCACGCATTATCAATGGGCGTTTTTGGTTATGCTGGATATTGGGCATATCAGTGGGACGAACGTGCGGCTGTGATGCTTGCGCAGAAGCGTGCGGAGATTACTGAGCGGAGAGAACGGAAGTTGGCGCATGCTGCATGATTCATTTAGATTTGGTGGGTGCGGTGCAGAGGTGAGTTCGTCATTCTTTTTTGTTGTGACATCAATCTGAATTATAGCTTGAAGGTCATGCGTATCGTACGCCGGGATACCAGCCTTGTTAATGGAGTGTACTGTATGTCAGGTATCTTTTGACGCTGCGCTGAACATTGAACCCTCTGGCTACCGAGCAATATATCCTTCGCATCGGAAAGGCACTACAGAACTTCATGTTTATCATGCGCCAACCTCACGCCACAATATACTAAGGCAACCTTTTGGTGCCAGTGCCATGAACATATGGTAATAAATTTATCTTATTGATGCCTTCTACAGTCTGTTATAGGCACCAAGCCTGTTCACAGACTCGTTCTTGGTCCCTACTACTACACACTCGGGTCGGCGTGCGACATCCATATAGCGACGTGACGTGAATATATTGGATCCTCATAGTGGTACATACCCCAATCTAGATATTCCAAGATTGTCGCAGCCTACATACGAGGAACGTTGGACCGAGCGCAGGCTGCAAAGGAAACCCCAGGCCGAACCTCTAAGGCGGAGAGGCGGCGATTCTATCTATCGCTGCGAACCAGGATTCTACTGGACTAGGACCCCCAGTACTGTTATGGAGCACTAACATGGTCTTACACGGTCAGGTGGGCTCATGATGAATCTATATTTCTGCTCCTTCCATGGGGCTCGAGCGGTGACTTTTCTAATGCCGAGGTATTGGATCTCGATGCTGCGCTGAACGTCGAACACTCTAGCTATTGAGCAATACTACCCTTTGCACCGGAAGCGCACTACAGAACCTCAAGGCTTCATCTTTATCATACGCCAAACTTCAAACCAACCTTTTGGTGCCAGTAACTTGAACGTTTGGTGACGGAGATTTACCTTTTCGATGTTTTCAGTAGGGACAAAATAGGTGTCTGTGAATGGTTCACTGGGCCCTACTTTGTCCCTACAACAACGCTCCGGTCGGCTTGCAACGTTCAATCTGACTCGAGCAGTGATGAGGGACCCCAATATAGATGTCCCTAGATTGTCGCAGCCCACGGGGAACACATATTGGGGCTCACTCAAGTCGGCTCATGACATATTTTTCTCGTAACGCCAACTCCCGAGGCATTGGATCCCAGATTCGTACATCCCCCAATGAGATCTGGGGTGCCCCTTGTCACAGCCTAGACTCTCGATGAATTTATGCTCCGCTGCTTCCATCGATTCGAACATGCCCCAATCTAGGGTGCTAAGCCAGACCGTATTCTCCAACCCCTCCGAGCCTTCTCACTGGGGATAAGCACCCACTGTGACCCATGAAGGTGTGGGGTATAAGACGTCAATTGACTACATAGATATGTAAAACGCCGATATCCGCCTCCAATCGCATGAATGAATCGCCCATGTTGATGGAGAATGTGTTTCGCCGATAGAAGCAGAACATGCGTTGTATGGGCGGTGATGACTTCGAGGAACGGTAGCGAGCGCAAGTGCCGCCGGTCTGCAAAACCATTGTACGTATGAGAAGAACTTCTTGATTTCATACCATAGAACTGGTACGCCACGACGTGATCCATGGCAGGAGATCGCTACTAGTGGCTAGTGCTTCTAATATGATATCAAGTCACATCACCGCGAAGGTGCTAACAACGAGGGCACGAGGCTTGTCGGAGTTGTCGGACCTGGTATATGTTTGATTATGTAAGTTTGTACCTCATGGTCATTGTTCTCCCCGCAAAGCTCGACGACGACGACGACCACGAGGACATTCAAGATTGTCGGTGCACTTCGACGCGTTCCAATGCCAGTCACTCATTTGATGTCTGCTCAAGTTTCCCCACTCGCTCTCATCATCCCCCGACCACATATTCCTTCAGCTATCAGACCCCGTCTTTCAACAAGTTCTTTTCTTTCTTCCACTCCACGCACTCCTTCTCGTAGCCCAGTCGCGTCTCATATTTTCATTTCGCCCCCGGCTCCTAATAGAAACAGTTGTGACTCTTGGAATAGTTCAAACTACGACTTCGACGACCCTAGTGTAGAGTGGAAGGAGGATGAGGTCAGATTACTTGGCAGGGTGCGTAGAACTTTGATTTTTGTCGAGTGATTGACCCAAAATGCGTCGCAGACCTTGGACGCGCTACCTTCTCATCTTATCACGCCTTTCAACGGCTCAGTTCCGCCTCCGAACCTTCTCGACAAGATTGCGCGCGGTATCACTGCTGCAAAGGGCCCCAATGACTGGCCCCATTCCGTTACCGCGACGCGTACCAAATTGCTCGACTTGGCCCGTGCAAGAGCAATGGAGGAGCGGAAGAGGTCCATTATTGACGAGGACGTCATCTTTCTCAGCGGAAATGCACATCGTCCGGGAGATTGTGCTGAGCGCAACGATACTTCACCGGACGTCCTTCAACCTACTACAAACACTCCTAAGCGCCACCCACTATACAGGCAGTCCAGCATGGATTTCATGACCGATGCAAAGGTTGATCATAAGGAAAGCATTGCTCGGTACGTTTTTCCTCCTGTTCTACCCACTTATCTGATTATACGCAGCCTTTCGCACCGTCTACAACGACACGAGCATACTTTCCACCACCCGTACCTGCGTCCTGCTCACTTGCGTCGTCCAACGGAACACTCACTTGCTCCCTCTACTCCCAGCTCATCAACGCTCAACGCCTCACAGAGCAATATGCGAAAGTCTACTGCATCCTCAAGTTCCAACTCCACCTTTGGCACTCCCGTTTCCGGATCTGTGCCTCTGCGTCCGTCCTCTCTGCGCAGGTCATCCACTTTGACCCTCGCAAGTTCCTGCGACATGCGCGTAGACGCAGAAGGTGACAATGAGAATCTTTTCAAGACTTCAGAATCTCGCCGTAGCGGGGGGTATGCCGACCTAGCCCTGGGCGCTACTGTCGGTGTCAAGGTCAAGAAACCTTCTGCGCAGCCTGTTACCCCAAGGACACCTTCAACGAGGAAAGTCAAACCGCCTTTTTCCACCACAAATTCAAATTCAAAAACTAAAATTCCCGCTCTATCTGTGATCTCCCCACCAAAGACACCTCCATCCAAACCTCGAGTACTTCCCACCACCGCAATCAAAGCAGCCACACCGATCAAGCAGCCTAAATTCCGCAAGGGACACATGCCTTCCCTATCCGTCTCCTCTGACGAAGAGGAGAATGCACGTTCTCAACGTGCGAAGAAACCCCGTACGAGGGAACCTTCGTGGTCACTCATCGCGTCCTCAGATCCACATGCACGACAGTCCCTTTCCCAATTGGCAGCATCGCAAATTACAACTACAAGTTCTGTGCACAGGGATTTGGCGAAGAAACGCGAATCAGGGCGGAGTGCTATTTTAGCCAAGGCTTCTTCCAGCTCGTCGGATAATGACAATGAATTTTCGACGGCGAGTGTAGAGACCGCTGCTACGTCTGTCTCGCTGTCCACATCTGCTGCACCCATGCCCGTGCCCAAGGTCATGATGAAGCAGAAGGCGGAGGAGAAGGCGGAACCGAAGCTAACGACGAAGTCAAAGCCCATTCGTCGCAACCTCATGCGCAACCCGTCCATGTTCGGCCCCGAGCTCCCGTGTCCACAAGCAACCCCATCGCCTCCATCGCGCATCCCGCTGTCGTCTCCTATCGAATCTCCTGTTTCTGTGTCCCCGAGTACACCAGGGTCTCCGAGTACGCCTCCCATGTCCCCAAGTATAATTGCCACACCTCTACTTTCTATTCAGACGCGGACGCCTCTACTCTCTATCCAGGCACAGACGCAGGCACGTCCACGCACACTTCGCCGTGCTGCGCGTAGGATCTCGTTTGGGAGTTTAAGGGCTGCGAGTCCAGTTCTGTCCGGTGAGAGTGGGATGGTTGCACTTGGGAGTGCGTTCCAGCTTGCTTGATATTGCTCTTGATGGTTTGGTGTGAGCAGTGCTCGCACACCTATCGTATCTTTGATGCTTCATTTTTGATTTCCTCGTTCCCTCTGGTTTCATTTTTGTATGTTTTGGATTTCGTGTACTTGTATGTCTTTCACGATTGCTCCATCTACTTCATCTAACGAGTCTTTTCTGATTGCTTCCCCCCATTTCTTCCCTTTCCTTCCGCTTTCCTTTCTTTTCGTCTTTTCGTTAGTCGTTCGTAGTTTTCTTCTTACTTATGGTGTTGCTTATTTTCTCACTCTTCCTTGGTCTTTGTCGCCTTTTGAAAACTGGCCAGGTTCGGGTACTTTGTTCGCAAGTGTTTTTTTCACATTCTGGTACCCTTGTATCTCTTCCGCCTATCTCGACCCCGCCTACCTTCGCTCCCGACCGATCCTTTTTTTCATTTTCTCATCGTCCAAGGTACGCCCGCTAATTGCTTCACATTTACCACGTACGCTGACGCCTGTGCTTTATGTTTGATTTTTGATTTCTTAGGGCGCCCACACTCGCTCGTTCGTTCACCATCATGCGTGATAATGCACGCTTACACACTCTTTCGTTCTCCGCTTTAAGCGGTTACTGCCACGCTCGTTTGCATTCCAGTATGCCATGAAACACGCAAGTCACACTCCCTATATTCTGGTTCACTCAAATCATCAATGTCGGTCTCTGCGTCTCCCTGGGACGGGTTTTTTTTTTACGGATAGAGAAAATTCTCTGATTCTCCCTCCACCAATCGGCTCCTCATTCCCCCAGCTCGTCGACGAGCTTGTTCTGTTTATTCACCGGTGTATCAATCCCACTCTGTCATTACTTACTCATGAACCGCGAACCTGGAGTCATCACACATTCATTAACTCATCGCATTCAAGCGTGTACCATCACCGCCTCTTCGTTATCGCTTTCGTTCCTACTATCTCCGTTCCTGTCCACATCACTTCCTTCTTTGTACAACCCCGTCCTCTTTTTTGTACAACATCTGTCCTCTTCTTCGCACAACTCCCCCTGTTCTCGTCCATCTTTGTACGACTGCCCTCGTCGCTATACACGTCGATCGTGTTGTATGACAGGAAATTGGATACGACGCATGTATGTACTCTTGGTCGCATTTGAACTAATCAGCGTGTACATGAAGTAGAAGAAAGGTTGTGGATTCTCGCTAAAACCATTGCTATCTTTGTGAGAAAACGCCTGCCACCTAGGGCGCTGTTCAAAGCCTGTGTGTGTCATTGAACTACAGGTGTCATTGATGGGCCGAGGCCAAGATCACACTGCGGCCCACGGCTTCAAGTCAGGCCATTCCTGGCCATGCACATCACTAGGCACAATGTCAAAATTACGAACAATTCTCCGGTCTTTGCGGCGGAACGTGTCTCCATGCCACTCACTGCCCGCACTTTCACCAATAACTGTTCCTATCGATGTTTGGATGCACATTCATTCCGTTTCTTCTTGAAGTGGTGTGGAAGGTACTTACTTCGGTCGATCAGATATCAAATCTCGTTTTGGCACTGCAAGCGCTGGACGGTTGCATATCAAGCACGAACGTGAATCTGACCGTCATACATCCACCAAGTTCGCCGCTCCCTCACTCCCATCCTCTAAAGTATGACCCTGGTCTCGGATGATCCCAGCTGGTGGCCACTCATCAATGCGAATCGTATTTCCAGTTATTTTATAGGTTCGTCAGCCGCATGATGATGGTGATGACTCTATTGACCTTCGCTGCAGTTGCCTCCTCTGTTGGTTTTATTTACGATTGGGGTGAGCAATATCCTCAGAGCATAAAAGAATTGCTGACATCTGTATGATATTCTCAGCGCTTACATTCGAACAAGAAGTAGGTTAATGTCATGACTGAGGCAGCCATCTCGCTAATAATGGGTTTTACAGGTTGAACTGATCTGGGTGAGCAGACTCCCGCCTTCAAAAGAATGATGTGGAAATACAACTAATTTGCGGCAGAGACAACGCTGGTCCCTGATGACAGTTCTGTATCTCAGTGTATGTAGCTTATGTTTTAAGTGTGCTTAGCAAGTTGTGCTGACTTGAACGTATCCTAGGTGCGCTACTGTGGAATATTATATGTTGTGTATGTTTGGACGTCCGAGACACTGGTGTTGCGCTCATCAGCCATCTCTCACAACCAGGATCTACATACTGCGTATGTCTCCTCGCATACATCCTGTTCGTGTCTTCTGATTGGCGGCGTACAGCCAGTGTTTCGACAATTTCGATTACAGATGCAGTGAGTATTCCACACTGATACCTTCCATTCCCGTGAACGACCATGTAGGGGTGAGTGAGTTTCTCGAACAATTCGGTGGTTAATATACCGACTGCCACAGCTGTGAGTTTGTTTCGGACGTGTGATCTTCCGAAGCTCATAACTAATGTTGCTGGATTTATCAGGCCGCATGGTGTTCGACGCACTAGATAGCGCGGATGAGATTGTAGATGTATTACTGGGTGGTGAGCTATGTACCTCCGTGATATTGGCTTGACTGAAACATCACGCAAGTCATCATCATCACTCGGTTGTATGCCATGTATCAGCGATCCAGAAAGGTGTTGATATTTCTCATTGTCATCTTTCTGACTATCAGAATTGCCAACACAGTGATGGCCGCAATATTTATGATGCGTATTTCAAGGGGTAAGGTTTCATGCAAGACTTTTGAGCGCATCAGGCTCATTTACAAATACCAGAGGAACTCGTTCTCTCTGGCACCTATCAGTGCACGGTTAGCTACGGAGAAGACGCCAAACTTCTGGCTTCCATCACTTGGGTACTCGGCACTGTATGGGATGTTATTGCACTGTGCCTCGCAGTCTATATTGCTGTCAAGAACTTCCGTGAACTGCGACGATACTCAACAAGAGGTATCATTGGGGACTGTTTCACGGTGTTAATTAAAACTCACGCGAGTTACTTTGCGAGGTAGGCTCATAATTTAAATGTGGTTCTCTTTTCCGCTGATGTTCTGCACATGCTAGCTCTGTTGTTGTTACTTGCTTCCAGCTCAGTTATTATTCTCCAGCGATCTCAGTGGTATGCCGATCTGTCACTGACCTCTGCATGCGAGCGCGGTTCATCATTTCTACAGAACCTATATTCCCTGGAATCTCAGATCTATATTGGTTTCACTCAAGTCTTCCAGGTCGCACAAATGTTTGTGCTGGGACCACGCCTGATCCTTAGCATTCGAGAATATCGTGCTAAGCTCATGGCCAACTCCGATACAGCAATCACTATCACTTCAATTGATTTCCAGGAGCGTGTCCATGTATCAACTAGCAGTAGGGTGTGGCACGGGGAATGCTAGGCTCGATGATTCACGCTTGTCGGCACGTAGTCTGCAGGGAATGGGAGAAGTTCTATTTATAAATATTATAAGTTTCATCGTAGTACTCATGTTGTCGTAGTGCCAGTGGTACTTGTTTAAGTCACTATTCGCTACCACCGGTTTGTATATCACTGCCATATCTCATGCAGCCTCCAAAACCACGCTGTCTGATGGGAGGAAGTTAACGCATGTTGGTACCTTACCCGCGCCCATTTCACCGCTTCATCGGTTCTTGAAACCACAGCACAGGCCCGCTCGTCTCCTCAGAGCCCAAAGTAACAGGTACATCAAAGATAGGAAGAGATTCAATCAGGTAAGGAAACTCGCACATGAAATTCTGTGTCTTGATGCGCCTCAACACCTGTCGTGCTCTGGTTTCGAAACGTAAATGTTTGATTCTGGTAAGCATCATGCAAAGCTTGCAGCAATCAATATGTATTTAAGGGGGTGGTAACGATCAAGTAAGATGCACGATGCGGTAAAACAAAGAAAGTGAGAATTAGGGCGATAACAGTGGAAAGGTGACTGAGATTATGTGTGGGTGGCAACAGGATGCTGGAAGTGCCCGAGGGTAACGGGCAACGAAGTTGACCTAGTAAGTCTGAATTTGGCTGGTCGTCACTTCTCATGAAAGCGGGCGCCCAAACAAAAACCAAGTACTCACCTTCATCGAAAATGAAAGAGATCGACGTACTCCTCATCAATATCCTGCGAGCTATTTATCTCTGGCTGTCCGGTGGCGGTTCCTATGAATGCTTCCGCGTCCTTTACAATGTCCAGCATATTTTCCTGGGGTACGCGGTTGATTGCATTTAAAAACATACGACTATCGTACCCCCAGAGCGATTCGGAGAAGCTATCATTGCCGCTCATCATAATCTTCCATATGTCGCCGCTATGAGCTTGAACCTCACTCTTTCGTATGGCTTTTTTCTTGCCTTTTGCAACGGTGGTCGCAACCTCGAAACTCATCTGTCCGGTCGAAAGGAGACGTAAGGCGCGCTTAACCTAACGACGATCAGTGCAATAAGGTAATATAATGGTATAGGCATACCGCTGCTGCAGAGAGTGCAAGTGCGATTCGACAGTGTTGCTCTTCGCTTCCGAGAAATTCGACGGGTGCACGACCTCGAGTGTAATCGAGGTGAGCCACAAGTATTTTCAGTATGAATGGCGATTGCCACATCCCTGTCCACTCCTAAACAACGGGAATGTTAGCATGAATTAAGCATAACAGGTATCCCAACCTTCTTGTCGTCAGAAGGATAATTTTTGAAAAGAAAACGGTTTCCTTCAAGATAAAAATTAGCAAACTCGGAGCGTTGCTCGTAAGTTGCAAAGGAAGGGGGATCGGATGCCATGATGCTCGTGATCATCACGATGGCAGCGGATCCGAATCCAACGCGCCATAGGTTCAACCACTGCTTGGACTGTATGATAGAATTAACAGCAGTTGACTACTTGCGTTTGTAAGACATACCGCATGTAAGACTGCATCAATGCAGTGTTTCAATGGAGGATTCCCTGAGTACACAACCCTCCAAGCTGCCACGAGGATTTTGATCAGACTGTCATCGTCAATGAACCATGGATCAGTGTTCTCTCCGCCAGCAGCATGTGCGATAGTCGGGATGAATACACCACGCCAGGCATTGTCGTCGAAGCAGCTGGCAGGAAGGTTCAAGTTAATAGTCTTGTGTCTTGCTGTGGATAGTTGTATCGTGGTGTCTGGCAATTTGTCCTTGCGCACTGCCTCTGTTGTTTTCATGCGCTTGGCTGGTGGCATGTTGTCTACCCCATCCAGAGCAGTCTAAGGAGATAGTAAGCATCGCAATACACAAGTTTACCAAACATACTCCTGCAACTCGTTTGTCGCCTGTAAAGTTGACAGTTGGCTCATCCAAGTCAATAACTCCCTGTGCCCATACCGACACAGGGTCAGTACATGTACCGTTCAAGTCACTGGTAAGGTCGTTCACAGTACTCCAGTAAAGGACAGTTAGCTCGGTTAGCAACAACATTGTGGTTGAAATTCAGGGCACTTACGTTGACGGCGAGTGGGTGTTTGTATCTCCTCTGAGTTGTATTGCCGAACATCACTACCGCCACCACCATGTAGTGGTCCACCCTTCGCTTTCATTCCTAGAGCCATCCGTTCCCTGCCATCTCGATCTTTTGGAAACCATTCCTCTTCCTTGTTGACCACTGGGATTTGGATACAGAGTGTACATGAATTAGGAGAAAGGTTGCGGATACTCGTGTTAAGTATATCTAGTGGGGTTTGGGACTTCTCTTCAGCTAACGATAAGTAGGTGATAATGCCTTTGGTCACGCAGTTGTGATATAGAGCGAGGAAAGATGGATACGCCCTCGACCAGCTAGGCACGTTTCCACTGGATGTGGGAGGAAGGTACTGCAGCTTCGGGGCGGTGAACGGAACTGCTGCTGCTGGTGGGTCTATTCAAGTTGAAACTGGCGGGCAATCGGGGTTCGGTTATGTCTGGAACCAAGTTTAGACGGGGAGCTCGCTATCCATGAGTGGGCCATATTTCGCACCCGTCCGGTAAAGATCGACAAAGAGGTGCCAGAGGAGCTGGAATGAACGCGAGCCTGACGGGAAGCCATGGTCAAAGAGGGAAAAGTGCTCAAAACCAAGGTCGCATCGCAATGTTCGAGCACGAGAAGAGCGTTCCAGCTCTTTTTGTTGCAAAGGACTTCAGTCTCCATTGGTAGGATACGACACCGCCGACAGATCAGAAACCTACGGGACACCCAGTTCTTGCTCCAGGGCCCACATAACGGTGGGGTGTGGCAAGGGAGACCCAATATTAAATTCTCACGAACCCGCATTTGACAGAAAACTGGAATATCTTTATTAAATTTCCCTCCATGTTCGCTCGACATTGAGTCCGAGTCGGGGACGTGCTCAATGTTCATATAATCACTACTACACGGTGGGTCGTCCATGCTCTCACTCATCGCACGAGCAAGTTTGACAGGCAGTCATTTCTTTCGATGTGCTCAGAACCACGTCCCACGTTCCAGACTTCTTCAGTGTTGAAAACCACTATAGTCAGACTCTTCTTGCGTACCGCAGTGAACCGCGCTGCACCTCTCGATCGACACCGAGTCACCGACAATGTTCAGAATTTCAAATCAGGCCAATACTTGATACTGATACCAAACTCGCGCACCCGTGGCACGTTGCAACATAAATCGGAGCACATCAAGGTAGCTACGACAGCTCGTCCGGTGGCATTCGAATCGAGACTAGTAAGTCTCGCATATATACATCCACTCTTGTGCTTCAAGTATCACGGAGTGGTCATGCTAGATGAGCCCATCACCGCCACAATCGTCAACGCAACCATCTTCTGTCTTACAGACTGACTCTCAGATGCAAGGCGAAAAAAAAACGCTTTGTAAGTACTCTGATTAGGGACGTGATGAAATGGAAGTATAATTTGATAATCAGGTATGATATATCGACCCTCACGCAAGAGTGGTAAGGCGTTCTTGGTCATGACTCAACCTGGTACGTGATTCTCAGGTCGTTTCCCCTGTATATATGATGGTTGCCAGCAGTTGACTCGGACTCTATCAAATTCGCCATGAGCGCACGAACTGGTGTTGATGCCTCAGAGTCGGTGGTTGTCGTTGTGTAAATTACCATGAGCGGAAATTTTCAAGAGGAATGCGACCCTTTGTTCCAGAACCTTGTGAGTAGTCCTCCGTAGGCAGAATGAAAGGAACACGGTCGTTTCTTCAGGCCTAGTATGTAGTGAGACACATCTGAATCATACATGCCAGCATCACAGCAGTCTAGTATTTATCAGATCGTATGATATGCAGCTCATTGGACATTCACCCAAATTTACATAATACTAGGTAACGGCATATGGTTAATGTGACAAATATATATACACGTCGGGCCAATCAACTTGAAGTCTTCTCTAAGGCAATCATCATGTCAGACCCTGTCTCTTCCAAGTCTGCCTTCTTATGCATGTATATGAAGAACCATCCTGATACACTGGTTGCATATGTCAAATATTTCGGGAAAGTTGAGGGTAACGTGCTTACCGCTGAGATGTCTAGCATTGATTCCAAGGTAGGCCTGGGCAACGAACATCCTAACCTTGCTGGCATTGACGAATCCACCAGGGCATGACGCTTGTGTATAAACTCAAGTCCGGACAATCGAATACGATTCGAGTGTCATTCGATCCGCCACTTTCAGGGTACGAAGAAGTTAAACCCCGCCTTCTGAGTATGAAGGCAGAGGCGCAGGAAGGTCTTGGTATGGTGGGTATTCGCAAGTGTTGCTTTCAGTCAGTCTTGTGTCTGATATATATCCACCGTATCCAGCTCAAAGCTCCTCAATTGACCACATTCCGGCTTCCTGGCGCAACTGCCATCGCAGGCGCAGTGCTCACTTTGTCAGTGTACTTTTATTTCATTTCACCACCATCCCTTGGCACGACAGTCCTCTCCATCCCTGTCTCCACTATGGACACGTTCTTCTCCCCAGCGCACGCGTTCAGAAATGCCACCGGTCTTGGTCTTTCCTTCCGAACTGCTGGTGCAATTATCGGTGCCATTCATGCAGTTGAATCATTATATACCTGGTCACTTTGTAGACAATACGTGAAGGGCACTGTAGCGACGGTGAGCCCATCTCGTGACTCTTTGAGCCTTACGCTCCAACTTTATGTTCAGGCTGCTTATATTGGCGGTACGATGATGGTCGGCGCCCCGGTGTGGTCAGACATCAAAAGACGAGTTCAAGAGAAACGCATTGAAAGCGTTATGAAGGTTGAATAATTGACTTTCTGCGCGCGTACTTTCCCGGTTCCGGGGAGAATGTACATGGTGGTTCATGTTGTTCTTGTATTGGTATGATGATATCGATATACTTCACAATTTATGTTTTGAACCATAGCGTTCAACTTTGTTATACAGTTGCGACAATCTGAATCTTTGTTTCCGGGGAGGATGAAAGTGATAGGTGGGACACCGATCATGAAGGAAGGGCAAGAGAAGCGCGGTGCAATGGCTAGGAGACTAGTCCAAGAATCACACTTATATGACAGCTATACATTTGCAAAGGTGAGCTGTTTATTGAATTGTGAAAGACCTGTCCTTCGTCATGGCCTTCGCTTGGTATTCGGAAGCATTAATGACACGTATGCCACAAAAAGAGGGATGCATACAGCAACGCGCGCGACGGGTCACGGCAGGTCGCTTTTAGGTTCAATTACAAAGACATTCCCACGGGTAGTATGTCTTTTGTTGAACCCACACTCAGTACTCAAGCTTGCGTTGCAAGTTTTGATCATTCTTCATGTCCGATAGGACCGATACGTTGAGCCAGTCGCCGAGGAACTTGCTCATTCGCACAAGACCACAGTGTTTATCGATGTCGATGATACCTGGCCCATGCATACGTATCGATACTAGCTCGGTGCAGTTTGCAAAGTGACCGAACAATCAGTCCAACGCTTGCTACCGAAGTTGTGCGCTCGTGGAAGCACACGTACGTCTGGCGGCGCAGATATGGCAGGAATGGCCTGTTTAACTCCCTCATAACTACTGCTCCGAATCAGGACAGGTCTGGTAACGGTTCCATGGTCCCGCCAGCGCGTCCAACAGCAAAACTATGCCATTTAAGACTTTGAAAATGTAATCGTAGTTTGTAAAGCACAACCTAATCCGATTCTAGCAAGCACCCACGGAGTCCCGAGACCTGACGGCACCCAAGTGACACCTTTACTTGCTCATTTCTAACTTTTCTGACGGTGTGCCAACGTAACGCGACCATCTTGTCAAGAGACTTGGATAATATGCTGCTGGCGCTCGTGTAAAATATCGCCATCAAATTTTGAAGAAATGAACCATACCAGGCATCTGTATAGTGCGTTCAGCTTCAACATGCCCCGATTGTGCCCCGATGATGAATTAATATATCATGCTCCAGTGAATTTCATATGTGCACAGTACAGATATGTATGCACATTCTTGCCGAGACTGACCTTCCCTCTCACAGCTTTATGCGGGATATCAGCCGCTTACTCCGAATGTATCTCTCCTTCCCTCATTGCATATGCTCGCCCCTCATCCCATTCGTCCAGGCTTTTTCGTCTTCAGAACATTTGCGCTCTGGAATAACAACTGATTCGTGCCCGTTGCCACACTGATTTCCTTTCATATGAGTTTAATGCTCCCACTAAATCACAAGGGCGTTGTAGATGCATCAGTCAGGCTGCCATCGTAGTATGCGCCAGCACTTACTTCGCCACTACTTCCACCGCACAATGTATGCGCTCTCGTCTCCCCATCGATGCTCCCCCTGCCATTCACATATTATCTTTCTTCTTTCACAGTTGCGAACAGCGCGATCCCGGACATCACAAGTTGTTTTGACAGCACCAACCTCTTCCTATCGTTTCTTATTTTGTTCGTGTTGGAACTGGGTTTGTTTCTGGGAGCATCCATATACACAGACACACGTTAACCAACGCTCTCCAGGGCTCGTGTCTCTGATGCTTAGTATACGTGTCTGTATGCCGTCTTCGTGAAGCTTAACATTTTCTACTATGCATACGGTCTGTGTGAGTCAGGATATGCATTGATGTCATGCATCCGTGATCATCAACGATTCTTGTTGCGGAAGTTTTCTTGGAGGTGGACGTCCTTGCGTCGCTGCTCCTCCGTGTGTGTGAACCACTCAAACCCTGCATTACCAAGCCATCGATGTTCTGCACACCCAGTACGAGTACTACCCCATGTTCCAAGAGTACACTGTCCTTTTCCGCATTCCTTTCAACAAAATCTCCAAACACACTCATGTACAGTTTCCAGTTTATCATCCTGGCCATCCTTGCCTTGCGCATGCACCTTCGTCTCTGGCAGACCAACCAGCGTGTACAAGGCTATGACACCGTCGTGTCAGGTTTCGTGTTTATCCCTCAGCCCGATATGTCATATGCGAGCCGCACGGCGTGACGCTTCATCGTGCTGTTCGAAATTGTCACTCAAATCTCAAGCTCTCCTGAACGTGGTCCAGCCACAGCCACATGCCCCGCACACCGCAGCACAACTTGGCATCGGTCATCGTCGACCATCTCCAGGATTGTGTGGTCGTAACCTTCAAGCCTCATTCCGTTATCATGAACGACGTCAAACAAGATCGCCACATCTTTCGGCTGGAATTCCTCATGCTTTCATCGCAGGTTCCGCATCCAGATTCGGCGAGCGCTTCCTCGGACTGCAAACACACCCTTGATGAGCCTAATGTTATTTGTGTGAATGAGCCTGTATTCTGTGGGGATCGCATCGTTGTCCCCTATCAAAAACCGCACACAATTCGTGGCACCTCTCTGTGTGTGTACTCAAGTGATAGATTGGAGGAAAGGACAGGCAAAGAGTGTAAGTCCTATCTACTCTTGAACACTGCCGGTCAGCATTCTCAGTATCTTTTAGGCCAACAACTTGCAGCTACGCGGATATCTACTGGTAGCTCAATTTATTTTTATTTTTTATTTTTATTCCAATTTCTGTCCATTGGGGTAAAGCTGTGTGAGTTGAGTCGTCTTCCTGCACTTGTCCTCACTTACTAGTATATGTGCCACGGATGCTCAACAATAAGCAGAGCAACTGTCTCGAAGAGCCCATCGATGGTGCCACTGATCAAAATGCAGGGTCCATGCACACGTCGAAGTGGGTGGCATGGCAGTGCCTTGGGGGACCCTGTTCAAAATGATGTCTACACTTTATAAAATATCTTTGTAGTAGCACGCATGTAATAGCAAAGATCTTGCTTCAATGGATCATGGTGTTTGATATATTTGATACCTGGTAAACGCTTTAGCTTACCACGACCCCATGATGGGCTCCGATATGCGTGTGACAGGGGCCGATACCCCAGATTAGAAGTTGTTTGGTTCCCAAGTCTCTACGACGAGACGAACCCGACTTTCTCAGTGTCTTCTCTACTCTTATCATGGTTCTAAGGATTGGATATGGTGCCGTCTGCTCAAACTGTTAGAATAAAGTGATATCTGACACCTGATTCAACCAGTCCGAGAACATTTTTGTTCTCCCCTGCTGCAATTCGAGGCAGAAGACAAAGGCTCAATGTTTACTCTCGTCGAGTGCCCCAGTATGCATCTCATATTTCTCCTCATACGATTCTGAAGCAAGCATCCAACGCAGGCGGCACAGGCCAGCTGATTTCCCGACTCACGAATGACGAGATCGATATCGCAATGTACGCCCGCCCGATCTTCACAATGATGTCTTTGATCTTATCTTATCGTCCGATACCAAAACAGAGCGCTCACCGATCCCTTGATCGCAGGGATTGCAAAGGGCTCAGAAGCGTACAAGCTCGTAGGGAGCTACGTTACGTCACCTCTCCGCTGGTGCGCCCAGATTGACTTACAAATGAACGTATGATCATCGTTATCGTAGGGCGGTCATCACGGGCAACAAACCCTCAACATACAATCAAATCTCCGACCTCCAAGGCAGCACGATCGGAATCTCAAGAAACGGCAGGTGAGCACCCCAAATCACACGCTTCCACCACGAGTGCGTGATTCATGTACCGGGATTGGTGGCGTAGCGGGAGTCAGACGATGGCGTACGTCATGGCGCTGCAGCAGCGCTGGGCAACGAGTGAGCTCAAATTCCAAGGTGCGTGTCCGATCAGGTCCCCTCCATCTTCGGCATGACTAACGCAAACACCGATGCACAGTCAATAACGATATCCGCGGCCTCATCGATTCCGTGAATGACGGGACGACGAGCGCATTCATGTGGGAATGGTTCACCACGAAGCCTTTTGCAGACGCGGGTGAATGCCGCTTCGTGAGTTGTACATATGATAATGGCATATACTGATATGCTGACCAGTCCCATTATTAAATTCGTTGGATATAGATCGGCCAAGTCCCAACGCCATGGCCCTCCTGGCTTATCGCAGCGCACCCGACACGTGCAGAACCAGCCGCCGTACGCACCTTCCTCAACAATCTCTCGCGCCACGTTCGTGCATTTGCCTCTGCAGAGGCTCGTGCGGGCCCGAGCGTGAAGTTTGTAATGGAGACGTTTGGCTATCCTGAAACGGACGTGAAGGTGATGAGTTTGATCTTGTACTAATTCCCGGTTGTGAGGGAGTGCTGACCTAGTGCATTCATTTGTGAAGGAGTGGCTTGATGCTGTGGAGTATCCTGAAGACTGCGCAACGATACCGTGGAACGTCATCGTCGACACGTTGGGGTAGGTGCCCTTTCCCTGCGTTCTGGTTACGTTCACGTGCTAAACAGTAGCTGATGCTGACGTTTAGAGTCCTCCAACAAGCGGGCGCGGTGGCCTCACCCGAAGGAGATGTCAAGCGGGACCGATTTTTGAATCTGGACGTCGTAAAGCTCGTTTGACCCGTGAACAATCATTACTTATCAAGTCATTATTCGTCACTGATGGCCTTATCGTGTATGTCAAGAAGAAAGCTGCAATTGCAACATTTAATGTCCAACGTTCAAGCTCCGGATGGGCGATGTAATTACGACACATGTTGTGCAAGTACGGTCCGAGTCCTTTGAATAGTTGAACAACGTTCCACAGCAAATATTGAAAGTTAGTACGGCGACGTAGATAAGCAGCAGTGCATGTGACAGCTGATGACAGTTACAGATACTCTACAAATACACGACAAATATCCGTGCAACGGCCGCTGTGAAAAAGTCAGAATGTAGAAATAGAACCAATGTTGTGCAGCGTCCGGCGTAGTGATGGTGTAAATGGCGAATACAGTAAAAGTAAGACTGTTCTCTAAACAGCTATGAAAGTCCTCAAGACCGTAATATACGAAGGTCCCTCACCGAGCCCGAAGGAGGTTGTAGCGGCCGTACAAGCCTTGTAAACGCAATCAGCACCCCTATCCATCCAATCAAATGAATACAATAACACTCACTTTAGCCATATTCGCCTGCCACCGCTCTTCTCCCTCACAAATTCCCACACGAAAACCTCGCCTGCATCCCCTGACAGACAATCCACGAGTGTTTGTCTCCCCTCACGCGTGCCCTCCGTCTCGAGGACCCACTCACCTCGCCAGCCTTCACCAAGCCCATCGTCGACGTCGACAAAGCCCATCCCGACGCGTGCACGTGCGACCCACATATGTTTCTTCGCTGCGGCCCACCCTCCACGGGACTGTGGTGACCGGACACGTTCTGTTGTTTGCACGAGATTAAGTTCGGGGACGCCACAGCCGCCTGGGGGCGAGAATGCGAATAGGGGATGAACGTGGGAAGGCATGAGATGTGAATAGTACAGCGGCGATGGCAGGCTAAGGGGGTCATCGACGGGCGGAGGTGCAGGAGGGAGGAAGGGAACAAGCGAATGGCCGTTAAAAAGCAGCCATGATTTGCGTGGCGGGCTTCTGTCGGATTCTTGTGACGATGATGATATCTCGTCCGATTCGGGGGTGGAAGGGACGTAGCCGAAGTTACAGACGATATCCCCGGTTGACAGGTGTTCCCAAAGACCGTTGTCAATTAGCAGTTCTTCGCACAATGAGATTGCTGCGGGGATGAGGCCTGTGCAAGGCACGAATACGCGCAGCACGGGCGCCCGGGTTCGTGAGGTTGCCGTGTGAAGCTCGTGTGGGGAACTAGTGGAGAGTCCAAGAACGTCTTGCGCCCCTCTCCGAGATATTGGCGGGGATGGACTGCCACTGACCGAAGATGACGCACTGGACATCTCACTGGATCCTGTGCGTCTGTGGGTACGCATTACAGATTTTCTGATATCATCTTCTGACAAAAAATTCCGATGACTCGCATACGTGCCCGGTGGCGTAGGCACCGAGGGTGGTGTACCAGCAATAGTGCGCCGCCATCTGGCATCGTAGTATTTGAGAGACCGGGGCTCTGACAGCGGAGGGGGCGGAGGGGTTCTTGCGCCGAATATGGAAAGCTTCCTTTGCTTTCGGTTGATTGGCAGATTGATGTCAGCAGAGGTCCTGGGTTTTGAAGTGTCTCGGCCTCTTAGCCTGGAGTCATGCGATATCTGGCTGCTATTTGCGCGGTCACGGGCCCGACTCGTGGACCGCCTCGGATCTGATGCAGTACCTGAGGGATAGGCGCTTGGCGGAGCCTTTTCGGATGCGTCAGATACGAATGACAGAGGGGCAGGGAATGTGAGCTCGCGGAGGCCATGAGGCAGTGTAGGGGATACTGAGGAAAATCGTTGAGGTTGGAACTGGGAATCATCATCGATAGGTAGGGGGAGGGAAGAACTATGGACGAGGGATTGAAGAAGTAGTACAAATCGGGAGTGAGTGAGACAGAGAATGGCGAGCTTGTGGGTTAATTTCGCGGTGGTTGCGTCATAATCTCGGCTCGGCGGTAGGCTCGATATGCTCCTGAGTGCGTGCACTGGGTATTGATGGGGGGGAACTCGTTGTGAGATAACTAAATTTAACCAGGTGCAGTGACGTTAACGTTGGAGGGTAACCCGAACAAAAGAGAAAACCAACGCAAGAGGTCAAGGTCTTGGAGGGAGATGTCCAAATCTTGACACTTGGAGAGGTCACTATGCTTAAGAGCATAACTGTAGCCCGGTACAAAATGGGATAGTACGGCATCTCTGAAATCCCGAGTATCCCAGAGCTGCCTGATATCGGAGCAAGTTGATAACAAGACGTAAAAATCAGCCCATGGTATGAACTGTAGAAAGCGTGCGAGAATGCGGGGCTGCTTGAGGGAATGGACGGTAGCACGTTGCATTCTTTTCCATGCCAATGCTTTGGCTACGGATGAAGCTAGCTGCGGTGGACGGTCCTGAACAAGGCTCGGCCTTCTGGCCGACCGTAGTGATTCGTTTGGGTATGTACGTCTTTCCTTCGGAGTAGGAAAGGGGATGTGGTATGATTTTTGAGATAACTCCCGAGGTAGTGAAGGCAGAGGTCTGTCTCTGTCTGGGAGTACTGGTGGGTCCATGGATACGGGATCACTTGAAGTGCTGGATCTTGAAGAAGTAGAGTTAGTGAGTGATGGAGTGCGCTCACCGTATGGATCCATTGCAAGGAAGGGAAGGAGCATAGGTCATTAATAATTTTTTTGTGGTTGGTAGGGGGGGATCGACAGTTGCTAAATTTCAGTGATTCATGGTCACTTTATGATGGAAGGGGTACAAACAAATTAGGCGTGGTGTCCCTTCCTCAAATATTATGTAATCCTGTGTTAACTCCACTTTATACTTATTTGCTCCACGATTCATTCACTGCCTTACAGTCATCATTGCATTGGTCTCAATGGCACCAGCACCGGCGCCAGCAGTGAGTATTCAAACAAATTATACGCTAATGTCGCTAACCGCAAACAGGAAGAGAATCTCGAGCGCGACATCTTCGGTGATGGCTCTGAACTATCTTCAGAGGAAGACGGCGCGTTCTTACACCTTTCTCACATTATCTCCAACTCACCGCACTTTATTCTCTCACAGATGCCCCGCAGCAGCGCCAGAGACAGCAGCAACGCCGTCCCGTAGAAGAAGATACTTTCGGCTCATCTGGAGGAGAGTCGAGCGATGCTTACGTGCAGGAGCGGCAGGCCAAACCCAAGCGTCGCGTCAAGCGACGTGAGGACGATGAACCTCGTAGGGTACAGAAGAAACGCAAACGAAAACAACTCACCGAAGAAGACCTCAACGATCTTCCCCCTGAGAAAGGTTCGTCTTAGAAGTAAATTCATCGGCCCTGACCAACCGTTCCTCCAGCAAACAAACTTCGGCTAGACATGCAGTTCGATGCTATTCTTAAGCCAAAAAAGGCAAATCGGCAGAAAAAGCCAAAAAAAGATGATGAAGAGATTTTGGACCGGTTCGCGGACGAGGAGGTGTCTCGTCTCAGGGAGGCCATGCTTGGTGCCGCAGCTGATGACGAACAAGCTAACCGCGATAAGCTCCCCGCTACCAACAAGCTGAAACTTCTTCCTCAAGTAATGGAAGTCCTTCGCAAGTGCGCAGCCACCCTAATTTTTGGTTCACGTCAGCACTAATATTATCTCCCAGGCAATCACTCTCACAATCTATAATGGACAACAACCTTTTGGAAGGTGTCCGTCGCTGGCTCGAACCTCTCCCGGATCGTTCCCTCCCGGCCCTTAATATCCAGCATGACTTTTTCCCCATCTTAAAACGCATGGAATTTATTGACAGCGCCGTACTCAAAGAGTCCGGTCTGGGTCGCATTGTATTATTTTACACTAAATGCAAACGCGTCACAGCCGACGTACAGCGCCTCGCCAACGAACTCGTATCCACCTGGTCACGCCCCATCATCAAACGCAGCGCCTCATATCGTGATCGTGTCGTTCCGGTCGCAGAGGAGGACGGCACAGAGCGCACAAATGAACGTCTCAACGCTATTTTAGCGCGTGCAAAGGAGGGAGAAAAGAACCGTATCCGGAAGAACGCCGTTATGATCCCGCAAAAGGACATCGGCACGTACACGGTTGCGCCGAGGACCAGTGCGAGCGTTATGAAGGGTAATCACAGTGTGGACACTGATACTGTGCGGAGGAAAGTTAATGCTGAGCGGTTGAGGACCCTTTCTAGGAAAATGGCCACACGTGCATGAGCATTGCATGTTGGCGGTTTTAGATTTGTTGTATTTTTGTATCATAAACTTTGAAAATATAGTACCTGATTGATCCGTAACAACGATTGTCAATGTATGTGAGCCGTAAACAGAATTTGTCACTGCGTGCTACTGACACGAGTGCAGATGTGCAAGAAAACGAATCACATACAAAGGGGGTTCGCTGGAGTTGCTGGCCTGAAAAGCGAGCTCGAGGCAGACGAGCAGATGTCGATGCGTCATGGAGCCCCGTTAGTCACGGGCGGAAAAATGGGCCTGAGGACCAAGATTACGAGCTTACGGCCTGACGGCCGAGCATGTGTCTATTACGATCCCGTAACTGACACGTCTATGTATGTTGGACTTATTTCCGATCACATGGGCTACGCACATCACCCAAAATACCAATTGTCTGCGTTAATATTTAGATCAAATTACACGAGACTAGTTGGCCGTGTTCATCATAAGCATTGCTGCCGCCGCCGAAATTCCTTCTGGTCTGTGAGGCCCGAGCCAACCTCCGCATGTATAGGGGAAATGAACTGAACTTTAACAACCGCGCCAGGTCATGACTACATATGGCCACATTACCATGTAAACCATCGATAGCTGATTCACAGCTAAGAACACCTACGCATATTAGAGTAAGCCGATCGATCCTGTTCCAAAAAGAACTTGCGAAAATATCGAAAAAGGTATGCAACTGACGATTGCAACATTGTAAGCATGATTCGAGATGATGTCTCCATCCGAACACGGCACGAGCAGCCGACCAGCCATGCGGATGAGAAGGTCTGGTGAGTCGGGGTCGTGGATATTCCGAACGAGCAATGACTCACTTCTTGGATAGTTCCATACGTGCACATAGAAGCGATTGTCAGAGGGAAATCACTTCACTCTTTCTCCGGTACGAGATAGAGGAGGAACACGGGCCGTTTTGCTACCAAACACACTGATTCGGTGTTTGATCATGCGGAAAGCAACACGTATGTTGGGGTCCCCAGTCAGACCAGGGAATCTCGATAGGTGTCTCTGAGTGAATGACCTTTAGTAAGAAAGTAGCCATGTCGAAAAGAACGAGTCATAGATGACATACAACCTCCAAAACCATAATTTGAAACCCCAGAGAGGGTAAGTAGCTGGGTATCAGACCCGAGAGAACCGCTGTGCCACAGGTTCGTCTCATAGCACATCTTGCACATCGATCAAGTCCAGGGTGGCAGATTCAATGGAACCACGAGCATAAAGCCCAAGCCTGTATTGAATGGGGGGCAGAATTCCGGACCATATAACAGAAGGTTTTACAAGTACAGCGCGAAACAGAAGTTAGCCTAGGAGGAAACATGGAATCACGGGACATATAGGGGACTGACAAAGGTTGGGGTGAGGAGGAACAGGAGATATATCAGCTTTGCGGGAAGCGATATGAATCCAACAGCCATCGTCAGAGTTTATGAAGAATAACTGATTACGGGGAAATTTGCAGCAGAAAACAATTGGAAACTTGATTGGCAAGGTGAGCGACTCGTTCATGGTGATCACAATGACGACTGCTGACCCCCAGGCATCACTGCCGCTTTGTGCCCAATGCCCATGATGAGTTTAACATAGTCTCTGAGCCAACAGCTGAAAACCTTCACCTCTAATACAGGGGAAACGACCTGAATATCAATCACGTCAGGTCGAACCTACAGTGCGGCCATGTTAAGCTATCGCTTTATGTCATAATTAAGTGCCCTCACCCATGTTAAAGTAAGCCGATCCTGTTCCAAGAATAACCCCTGAAAGTCACGCGTCGGAAAAGATGCATGGCAGACGGTAGCAGAGTAAAAATGATCCGAGGTGAAGTCTCTATTGTAGCCCGGGTGAACTAGTCGAGCAGGCTTGTAAATCAGAAGGCCTGGTGAGTCGAAGCCGGAGAAGTTTTTGGAACGGGCAATGACTCTTTCATTGAAGTCCCATATATGCACGTAGAAGCGACCGTTAGTGGAGAGCGCTTCTAGTCTATGTCCAGGTGCGGGGGTACGATATCGAGGAAGAGCATAGGCCATTCTGCTACCGAACACACTGATTCGGTGGCTTGGGTCGTGCGGAAAGCAGCACGTATACCGTGGTCCCCAGTCTGACCAAGGGACCGAGACAGCTGTATGTGGGTGCAGGTTCTTTTCTGAGAAAATGATCATATCGATGACCAAAATCATGGGCACTGCAGGAAGAGCCATCTCCAAAACCATGATTTGGGACTCCAGAGAGGGCACGGAGTTGGGCACAAGGTCTGGGCGAACTACCGCACCTGGGAACGATGGAGTGGTATGAACAATGCACGATGGAGCGCGTGCAGAGGTGCACGTTGGAAAGAAATAGGAGATTCGGTGCTGAGGCGACCCATCAAGTTCCTGTAATGTGTACAGCATTATAACACCGTCCAAGTCGATCACAACAAATGTCTGTTGGTCAATGAGATGAACTTTGATCTGATCCCCAGAACTTTCAATTTGGTAGCCTAAATTATGCTGCTTAAACTGAGTGTGGTAGAATTTTTCAAGATCAATGGGACTTACACTCTTTGCCTGTCCTTTCCTCCAATCTATCACTTGGATGAACATCGTTTTCCTCCACCGATTGTCCGTGTGTGTGTAATAGGGGACAACTATGCGATCCCCGTAGACTGCAGGCTCTTTCATACACACAACATCATAATTGCCACGCGCATCAAAATAATGTTTGCAGTCCAAGGAAGTGCACGCTAAATCCTCATGCGGAATCTGGGATGAAAGCATGCGAAACTCCAGCCAAAAAACATGGTGATCCTGTTTGACATTGTGCACATTGACTAGGACGAAACGGGGCAAGGATATTGTGATCACAAGATCCTGCAGAGGGTCGACGATGACTGGCGCCAACACGTGCTGCGGCATGGGGGATAAATTGTGGTTGGGCCACGTCCGGGTGTTTGTGTTACACTCCTGAATTAGGAGATCCTCCTCTCTGGACGTCCACCAAAGCCCATACTTCATAAATTGTGCCTCTTTGGTGGTGGTAGGTGCGGCAGCCACTGCTTTTTGAAAGATGGTGTTCACATGGAAATCAGACTGCGACATGAATACAAATTTCTTCAGTGAGCTGTTCGTTTTGAAGTATTGGATCGAGTCCTGGGTAGTGGTCTCGATGATTCCTCGAGCAAAAAGCTCGAGCTTGTGTTGAATGCGCACACAATTTTGAGCCGCATCCCTGAAGGTTTTGCAGGCCTAGCGTCAACGGAAGTTAGCCTTGGGGAACCTTGGAACCACGGGAAATAGCGGACTGCTATTGCACAACGACAAAGGTCCCTTGGGGTGAGGAGGAATAAGATGTAACATATTAACTCTGTTGGAAGCGACAAGAACCCGACATTTGCCATTGTCGTGGCCGAAGAAGAATGAGAAGCCAAATCGTGACAAATCAGATTGTTCATTACATCATAATCCATCACGATTGATTGATTTGAGCTCTCCCAAGTCTCCTCTGATCTATATCATTAGCGCCTGTTGTCGACACGACTCATCGCGCCCATGGCGCCTCCCTCACGGCTGCTCAATCATGAAAAGTGCTAAGAGTTTTCTGTGGAACAAAACCGACACGAGTCACTTGCACTGGTCATCAAACATACACAGTGGATGTTCAGTCGCAATGACATGAGCATAAAAGTCTGTGCACATTGCGATCTGGGTCTCGTCTGCGTGAACGGGAGATCAGCTAGCATTGTAGTCGAGAGTGGCGTTGTGCCTTTGTCTTCCGCTGCAAACAGGAGGGGGGATGGAGTGTTCTGTATTGTGCATCGGACGAGTCAGTGTTGGAAGAGTGTTGAGTAGATGATACACCATGTCTGCACCATGTCTTCGATCTTTCGAACCTCGTCCCTTGCAACTTCGGTGTGTATGGCCCCTGTCACATCGGAATGCATGGTACATAGCAAGTATCATGCCATTAAGCCAAGAACTTTGGTACATGCGTGCTACCACAGAAGCTGCTCTTTTAAATAAAAAGCGATCATTGAATGAGTATCATCCACGCCAGTACAAAGTAGAAAAGCCTACAATGCGAGAAAATAGTTATTCTCGCAGCGCAATAGACTTCAGACATGACTCACAGGAGTGGGTATACGGCGAGCAAGATGCGTTGTGGTTCAATTTTCGTGCCGTCCAAGAAGTTTACGGATGCTGGAGCCGAAATTCAGAGTCAAAGATTGTATGAGTTGGAGTACGCTGAGCTTACCCCATATGCACCAAGCCCAGGCAGCCAGGGCTACGGGCGCACGCACCCATATGACACGCACGAAGCACGAGATAAGTGCAGCGATATCTAATGGCGCTATGCAGTAGCCAAGTGCACAGAGCCCTTGAAAGAAGGACCTGGTCATTGGAGTGTGAATATCATGGTCAAAATCAGACGAGGGAGGCACGGATGCGTTGCTCACACTCTGCCACCGAGAAGCTAGGACAGTTTGAGACGCAAAATTAGTGTCATTGCATAAGCGGTTGTGAGCGTTCCCCACCTTAGCCTGGACGGTCACGACAAGAGAGCCAAGGGAAACGATCACAACCACAGAAGTGAATACCCCTAATGACTGGCTGGAGGGTGCCTGTGGTCCGTGAACAGCATATAGCTCATTTTACATACAACACATAAAGGACGCACATTCACGCTCAACATGATGCCTAGGCATAGACAAAGCAATAATGGTCCCCAAAGATCCCAGTCTCTGCAAAGGCAATATCAACAAACGAGCACGACTGGAGTGTCAGGCGCCACAAACCTGAGGACTTCGCGTCCACTAGACTTACGAGGGTAGAGCACATGTACCAACTTCGAGTATATCGAAAGCAAGTCGCGTGCCTGGGCCTGGGGTCAGATCGTACGACGGAATAAGGGCGGCTGCACTGACGATTGTGGTGGTGACAGGCTCATCTAGAGTGTCCGCCCCAGAATACCTAAAGAATGTTTGCACAAGAGTCGATGCAAATATGCGAGACTTACCGAGTCTCGACTCGAATGCCGCCGACAGTTTGCCTGTTGGAACTGCCGGACGAGCTATTGGCACCGATGTTGCCAGACACATTCTGGTTCTGAGAGGGAGCTGCCGAAGGTTCGGCAAGCTGTTCTGGCTCCCTTGATTTCCCCTTGTCTATGGCTAGTGATGGTACTGAGAACCCAGGAATGTCTTGCTCGTCTAGGTCATCATCGTCATCATCTGGATGGGTGCTTGTTCGAATGGTTATGGACGTGGCACGAATCTAGAACGCACCTGCTTCTATGAATCGTGAAGTAGAAGTCAAGGCAGAATGGTTCATGGTTAGTTTATGTCGCAATTGTAAGTATGGGCACTGGGTAGTAGTGGTATGACCCCACTGCTTAGCGCTGGCTAGCTGGCGGACATTGACACGTCATCCATATGAGGAATCATGTTCCCGCGCCCGTTTTGGATGGACTGACGCGTCGAGCACTCTTCTGACATACGTACCTGCACTCATTGAACTTCGGGAAACATGGTTTGTGATCAGCTACAATCCTTCACCTTTATCTGAATATCTTACAGGGAAACGCACCATCAGGCATGCCGCCTGGCCAACCTCAAGGCCAGGACAACAAGGATAACAAGGACAAAAAAGCCGAGCCGCCAAAGAAGAAATGGGAGCCGCCTCTCCCGACCCGTGTGGGCAAGAAGAAAAGACGCGGACCAGCAACCGCCTCCAAGCTACCCCCCGTCTTCCCTGCTACACGGTGTAGGCTCCGTTTACTTAAGATGGACCGCATTAAAGACTACCTGCTCCTGGAAGAGGAATTCATTCACAACCAAGAGCGCATGAAGCCCGAGTCATCTCGTGAGGAGAAGAATCAGGATGAGAGGTCTAAGGTGGATGATATTAGGGGGACGCCGATGATGGTGGGCACGCTTGAGGAGATTGTTGATGACGACCATGCTATCATCAGTACCGCAAGTGGCCCGGAGTCATACGTTTCGATCATGAGTTTCGTCGACAAGGATAGGATCGAGCCCGGGTGCTCAGTCCTACTCAACCACAAGAACCAGGCGGTAGTCGGCGTGCTGGAGGACGATACCGATCCTCTGGTCAGTGTCATGAAATTAGACAAGGCTCCCACGGAAAGCTACGCTGATATCGGTGGTCTCGAGAACCAGATCCAAGAAATCAAGGTAATTTTCCTCCTCGATTACCGCAGTGACGTTTTTATTCCTTAACCCAGGAATCTGTCGAACTCCCCCTGACACATCCGGAGTTATATGAGGAGATGGGAATCAAGCCACCGAAGGGCGTGATTCTTTACGGTGTTCCTGGAACAGGAAAGACTCTCCTTGCCAAGGCAGTCGCAAACCAAACGTCCGCAACATTCTTGCGCGTGGTCGGTTCAGAACTTATCCAGAAGTACCTTGGTGACGGTCCCAAGCTTGTTCGCGAACTCTTCCGCGTAGCCGAAGAACATGCCCCCAGTATTGTCTTCATCGACGAAATTGACGCTATAGGTACCAAACGGTAATGACGCGTCTTACATTTTGTCTACGAATACTGACGTTGCTACCTGAAGGTATGATTCAACATCGGGCGGCGAACGTGAAATTCAAAGAACGATGTTGGAACTACTCAACCAGCTTGATGGTTTCGACACTCGTGGCGACGTCAAGGTCATCATGGCCACGAATAAGATCGAGACGCTAGATCCTGCACTTATTCGACCAGGTCGTATAGATCGAAAGATTGAATTCCCACTGCCTGATGTGAAGACCAAGCGGCATATCTTCCGGTACGCCTTTCCTCCTCTCTTGCATAGTCTAACAAACAGCGACTAAATAATTACAGATTACATACTTCGCGTATGAGCCTGAGCGAAGATGTCGATCTCGAGGAGTTCATCATGGCCAAGGACGATCTTTCGGGTGCTGATATCAAGGCAGTCTGCACAGAGGCTGGTATGCTGGCTTTGCGAGAACGTCGAATGCGGGTGACGAAAGCAGACTTCACTGCTGCGAGAGAAAAGGTATGTTGGATGTTTGAAGTGCGGGTGACGTTACTGAGCCGTTGTAGGTTTTGTACAGGAAGAACGAAGGCACTCCCGAAGGCTTGTATCTGTAGATTATTCTTGTCAATCCTTAATTCGCATTTCCATACACTGTCGTCTGATTGGTGTGCGTGCGTTTTGGTGAAGTGAAACCTTCTGTCCACGCCCACAGTCAGTATGTCCGCTTTTCTATTTAACCATAACTTCCGAACGCTTCCGGTCCTGCCATATGCTCCACTTTAGTGATTTCCACTCATCTCCAGACCGTCAGTGATATAGCTTGATCAGATACTAGTTCTCATTCTCGCCAGCTCTGGGACGTTCGCAGACGTAATTTAGTCATGATTGAGCATGATCGCGAAACAAACCAAGTCTAAGCGTTTTCTGCTATGTAGTCGTGCTGTAGCCGCACTTCAGCTTCCTCCTGTTGTCTCGCTCGAGAAATTCCTCATTGTGCATCGTGCATTAAGCTCGCATCGCCCTGTCGATATTGGCGTTGGCGTGATGGATGGCGAAGGGGTGAATTGTGCGGGCATATTTGGGAACGAAAGATTTTGAGCACACCAGGAACATAAGCATACAGAGCTGGCGTATACAACAGCTACTATATCACACTAGTACATATACAACTGGGTTACACTGAGACCTCCTCATAGATGGATCCTCACAGGAAATCATCAGTGTCCTCCCCCTCGGTATCCCGAAGGTCCTCCAGTTGTTCCAATGCTTCTTCCAGTGCTTTCGTACCACCATGAGAAACCCCGAACATACCATGCCAGGTGAAAACATCTAGATTTGGAAACACCGTAGCTAGGAAATATGGGACACGCGCCTCTTCCGACACACGCGAGTGTCCGACATTCAGCTCTTGGAGGGCTGTTTGCGTGGGCCAAAGCTCCTGGTTTCCGTCCTGTGTATGAGGTAGTGTCGGCAATTGTGTGCCATCGAATGTTAAATGTAGGATACGCAGCGATCTGCACCTTGACGCCAACGAAAGCATTGCGGCGAAGGTGACGTCGTTAGAAGTGCCAGGTCTATGCGAGGCGAACTCCAATTCACAAAGATTTGGCCAGGCAACCGCAACATCATCGATGAACGCATCGTCAAGATCGTATATGCCAATGTCGGAGAATATGACAGTCGACAGCCTTCTGAACTTGAGTAAAGGCCGGAAAATATGGGAAGGGAGTATGCTGTGGCAGTCAGGACCTGGACGCTGATACGAGTCCCCGGCCATAGAGATCTTTTCCAAGGATGCAAATGTTTGGCAAGACATGGACAAGGATTCAATGAATGCGGTGATTTCCGTTGGGCGAGCAGGTGTGGAGTAGCTGATATGGATGGATGACAAGTGCGGGGTGGTAACTTGATGAAGAAAGGATGTACACAGTGGCAAGTTATTGGCCGCGAGAATGAGGTGTTTGAGGGTTCTCAATTCAAGTGGTAAATCACCCGATGGTGGGTTGTCCACATCGTTGGATGTTCCGTACAAAGTAAGCATCAGGGTGTCAAGACGGCACGAATGCTGGATGTTGGTAATGTTCTGCATCGCCAGGCACACGTTGATTCCATCTATGGACAGTTGCTTTAACTTGGGAAGCTTTACGAGACTCGGAGGGATTGTAAAACGGGCCGCCGATATTGACAGTCGCTGCAGGCCGGGCGCTTCTGCGAGGAGAGCGTCGAACAATTGCTCTACCTTACGCTCTTGGACGCCTGGCGGTACGTCAAACAGGAGTGTTTCTAATCCGGGGCGAAAAGAATTGGCGAAGCAGCCGGAAGTTTGAACGCAACTCCGGCAGATCAGCCACTACGTTGAAATCCAATGCGCAGAGGTTCGGGAAAAGTACCGCGGGAGGGAACAGCTTGAAAAGTTGCTGTAGTACACGGCGACTGATATGTGGTTTCATAGGAGAAGTATATTCAGAGTACCAGTTCGCATCGGAAATTGGGAGAAGCCTGCGTATCCTTGACGCGTTCAGTCTGGCGCGCTCCCAATGCATGGGGAGCGGCGGCGCAGTGTCGGAAAAATTCTGTAGATTGGAGCGCTGTGAGCATCGTCCTGTCAAGACTTAAATTGCATACATCACTCACAATGGTGTAGTCCGACTCTCCGACTATCCAAGTGTGTTTAGGCAGGCACATGATGAGGGGTGCCAAATGTGACTGCTCTGACCAGAGCATATTGAGGGCAGGAACTGAGAGTGTGGAGCAGGTCATGGCAATATTTCGCATGTCTTCCGCAGAGGATGTGACATTTTGTAATATTGCGTGAATGATATCGTCGACTAGCAGAGCGGGATGCATGCTTGAAAACTGTTAGTGGTGCTGGATCATTTGCACGATCCTTCTTATACAGCCAATCTCACAAGGATCCAGAGCCGCAGGTCTTGTGGTGTTTTGTTCGGGTGTGAGGGTCCACTTGTGGAGGTCATAGCGTTATTAACTCGATCGGCTGCTCCGTTGTTGACAGGAGCAGCGCTGTAGATGATTTCGCTGGATGCTTGCGGTACGGTGTTCGCTGCAGTAGTGTTGCTGAAAGGAAGATAAGCACACATGGTTACGTGCGTCGAAACGTAAAAGCCTTACTGTTCATGTGGAGTAACTTGTAACCTTAGGAGGAGGTACCAGACGCCGACTCCCGAGTGCTTATTTCACTCGGTGCTTTTGGTTGTCCTCGGAACGGCGGCAGCCAAAGAGGTCTATGTCAAGACAATTGACTCTCTTTCATCCATGGAGCGCTAGTCAGACCAGTGGCCGTCACTAGGACTACTGAATGAAAGTTACTTGGGTTTATTTTGATTTATGCGGCCCAAGCCCCACAAAAGTGTTTCAAGTTGCTTCTACGCACCGAGAATTAATTTTCTATTCACGGTGTTCTGACCTGCTATGTACCAAGTTGCCAGAGTCATCGTTCATGCATATGGTGTCTTCTGGATCCGTTGAAGCGAGGTTATTTTACAGAGGCAGAGAGCGTGAGCCTGCTCGGAGATAGCCTTCTATCCGTCCCGGGTCACGCCGTCACGGGGTCTGTCTGGGTTCATCCCTCTTACAGCTGTGTGCGAAACTAATGGCAGTGACAAAATTTAAATTTTGGCATCCGCGGTGACGAAAAAGGAAATACATAGAACGACGCGTCCTGGATGCTGGGGAAAGCTTTGTGACTTGTCCAGGTTTTTCAGACACTGTTAGCCATCCCTACTACGTATACTTTCGCTATACGTGTTATATATACAATTTGCTATGGCGAAAGGAAAGAAGTCTGCCCCGAAGAAGCCCACAATTAGAATACCACCAAGACCACTCCTCTCACTGACACCAAATGCTTCACAGATATCCACCAATTCCCATCCGTGATTCCACAGCCGAAGTGCGCAGTCTTTGAGATCGTTGCTGATCCTTCGGTTAACCATAGTATTTACGTGACAGGGCTGCGCAAGCTAGCTGGTGTCGCCAATGTTGTCTGAAAAGTTTATAAATGCCTGCGAGCGTCTTGGACGCATTGTTCTATGTATTTCCTTTTTCGTCACTGTGGATGCCAAAATTTAAATTTTGTCACTGCCATTAGTTTCGCACACAGCTGTAAATCAGGCTCGTGACAAATCATGACTACAGTACACTTTTTCATAATGCATAACGTCGGGACCCCTCCCAGGCTATGCATTATCACCCCTTATGCATTACCAAGGTGTGTGACATATGTGACACATTGTGATGCCATGTGACCTCCCTCAAGAGTGTGACAGCTGAGAGCGGTACAAAACATATCATTTTCTATTTACCGCCGAAGTACGAATCTATTGTTGTTTGCTTTGCTCCACGAATTTCCTCTCTGCGCACACCAGCCCTAAATGCCCGCAGCCGTTTTGAGAGATCAAATGAGAGCTCGAGATCACCAAATTGAAGGCAAGCATCTTCGAGTTGCTGGCACAGCGTGAATACTTGCGTGAAAGTGTACTCCGGCGTCACGTTTTCATCTTCGTCGCCGGCCTCGCTATCTGAATCCACCTCCATGATATCCCCCCTTTCAATTGCCATTTGTCTTCGAACTTCCTCAACAATCTCCTTGTCCCCACCTGGAAACTCGTAATCATGATCACCAACTTCCCTCTCTTCAACAGGGTCCAAAAGCTCTTCGATTGTGGGCGGCTCGCCAAAAATTCGGTTACGAGACTTCAGACCACCAACTGAATCCATGAGTTCAATCTCGAGTGTTGTAACTTGGGTGGGTATCTTTGGACGTGCGGGAATCCGGATCTTGAGGCCAGTCCGTTGAGATGCAGTAGTAGCTAGTGTACCAACAGCTTCGAGTGCAGTAGCTATGTCACCCTCGGCATCCATAACTGCCTTCAAAGCAGGTCTCCAATCCGTGTCGGCATAGTGGTCAGCGAGGTGTTGTTCCAGGCGAGTTTCTGCTTCAGGCAGAGACATCTCACTGGAGGCAAATTCCCGAACAATTTGCCACGCTACAGGGTCATTATGGGGGCCGCCGTTACCCGCACTTGTTGGAACGGATGAGTCGTCCCTACTTGCAGATGAGATCTTCGTAATCAATAAAAAATGATGTGCATGCTCACGGTTGAATTGCAGTATGATCCCAACAATGTTCAATGGTTGAAGTTACGATATTCCACGCTTCCTTTGCCATCATCATGGCTTCGAGAAGATTAATTTTATAAATTTCCCGTTCACCAGCATCATCAAGCTCAATGGCGCGAGCACAAAAATTGCGACGATAGCCAGCTTTAAAGCAGCGGATGATACCAGCGTCACACGGCTGGACAAAAGGTGTCATATTTGGCTCGAAATATTCGAGCTCGATGTTTGAAGGTTCGTAGGGGATTTTGTGGGCTGAGAAGTTGTCTACAAATAGGCAGATCTTCCGATTCTCCCGCTTCATTTGGAGATCGAGTTTCTGAACCCATCTGATTTCCGGTAAGTAACATAGCGAATCAATTCACACATGACTTACTCCTCAAAGAGCACGGTTGTCATCCAAGCTTTTTTATTGTTTCGATAGTAGAAACCACGTTGCTCAGGTGTTTGTTTTTTGAAGCACCGAGGCTTCCTTGCCCTTCCGATGAAAAACGGCTCAAGTTTCTCGCTGCCGTCAGCATTACAGGCGAGGCCAACTGATATGCGAAATTTGTCCTTCTTTCTGCCACTCATCTGTTTCGTTGCGAGTCCACGATCTGGAGGTGCGCTTGACATTGAATACAAGTGAGTTGTCAGCAATTTGAAAAACTAAAATGGCAGCTTACAAGGGAAAGAAACTGGTCTCGTCAAAGTTCCAGCGGTCCTTGGGAGCATATTTAGCCAAAATCTTTTGGCATCGAACACGTTCAGCTGCGACATCATCAAGATTCACGGATCCTGCTTCACCATGCCGGCGATGCTCTCGGATTTTGAACGTTCGACAAAAAGAAGCAATCCAACCATCTCCCGACAGCCTCTCTTCCTCTGGCACATCAAATTCTTCCTCAAACTTTGCTCGCTTGGCTCGTAGCATTGGTCCATTCACTGTATCTCCCTTTATCTCCATATGTTTGACCCATGTGAACAAGGCCCGCTCTACATCTGGCCTGGTTACAACACGTGGACGTTTTGATGATACATCAGTAAACTACAACTTTCTCACAGAGGTCACACACTTGGGGTCTTGCGGCAGCAAACCACAGGACTCCACAGTTCACGCAGGCTCACAGTGAATAGTAATGCAGCACTTTCAGTCGCTCACAGTTCAACAGGACTTACAAGGAATGGTGTTCCTACTGCACCTTACAACTAAGTAGTAAGTATACTAGTATGAAGTATTGTATTCCAAGTAGTACTAGCGGCATAAATTACTATGACTGAGAGCCTGGGGCTGGTCTGCATTGGTTGGTGCTTCTTCTAAGATAGTAACTGATTAAGCTCGAGATCGATGAGTTTGTCCAGCGCAGGCATGTCACTGATAAGGGGAGCCGACATCAACGACGCTGCGGCCAACTTTATTTTCGTACCTCAGAAAAAAATGTCACATTCTACAACGGAATCCCAAGTACATGTTGTATGTTTTAGTCTACTCGGATAATGCAAAAAATGAATGCTTGTCCCAAAAGTAGTTCAACCAAAACTCCCTCGCGTGCTCCATGCTATTATATGCCGTGAGACGCGTGTCTGCAGTAGCACCAAAACGTGGAACAAGATGGACTGGCGCTCGAAGCTGAGAGACTGGAATGATGTCGCCCATCCGTGTACCATTAGAGCGCTTCGCTCTTTTCAGTGTATGCAACTGAGTGGTTGGATCGCGTTCGCTGGAGATATCGAACCGTTGGACGTAAGTTAAGTATTGATCGTCCCAAGCCCATCGTGTCCCGCTTCTGCCAAGAGGCCGAATGACAAGCCTGATTTGCGCAATGGAGTGCCCTGTGGGAGATCATTCTTTAGCTTAGTAATTATTGCGAGTAAAGACAGAAAGAACGTACCTGAAAGGCTGCTGGCGGGCCAGGAATGACCAGAGCTGGTCTGAATAATGACTGGATCGTAACGACCTAAGGTCCAAGGGTCACTAGGTGGTGCGCAATTAAGCATTTGAGCGCGTCGAATGTTACGGGGATCGTGAAACTCGGTCTCCTGCAAACGAATTTTGAACCACACTTGAACTTTGTCAAATGGTAGCTCAGCGCCATGCGCAGCCCTTCTAGGACCACCTATGGAGTGGATATGATTGCCATAGGTCGCCTCACGGTGAAGAAAATCGGCGATAGCCGGTCGCAAGTCAGGTAGGCCGAACATAATGGCAATTTCATCGACAGTAGCATGCTTGATAGATGGATGGTAAGCAAGATTAAGCGCAGTGCGCCCGACGACAAAAGAACGAAGTGGGAATGGTACCGATCCAACTTTCTTTGCTTGGAGTATTTTCGCGATTGAAAAGTAATCTGTGATAGGACGAGGTTGTCCGGGACTTCGACTTGAGGAGAGTAGCTCTGCAGGAAAGCCGTTTGCGTCATCATCAAGCTCGTCATCCTCCTCAGCACTTTCCTCCCCAACAACTCCCGGGTCGTCGCAGCGATCTAACAGGCTAGTAGCGAGGTCAAATCGATTGCACTTATCGGCGCGATCAAGATAACGACAAATTTGCGGGTCGTAGTTGTTGTTGTTGCTGGATCGCGCAGGGTCTTTGACCTCGGTGATGTGCGCGTGCTCGGTGACATCTGCAGACCACTGTGCTATGACACCGGAGTTGCGGATACTGGTGACGATACTCTGCATTAGCTCGAGTTTGGGAATCTGCCAGTTGTCGATGGTTTTACCGCCTTTTC